GAGCAGCACCTAAGTGGACAGATATGTCCTACAGTAATAGTGTATTTGGCAGGTGGGAGGGGGAGGGAGGTGGGTATATACATACATAGTGAGTGAGATGTGCACCATCTGGAGGATGGTCATGCTGGAGACTCAGACTTGTGGGGGAGTGGGGAATGGGCATTTATTGAAACCTTAAAATCTGTTCCCCCATAATATGCCAACAAAAAAAAAATTTTGGTCATGGAAAAAAAGCATAAATTTGGAACTTAAATCATAATAAAAAATAAGACACTATAAAATTGACACATTTGAAAGAGTGACATAGATTTTCTAGAAATAAAAAGTCAATAGATAGACTAAATAGAAAATAAGATACAACTGAATAATCAGTGAACAAAGAGTTAATTTCGAGAGCATTACTCAGAATACAGTACTGAGATATAAAGGTTTAGAAAGTAGGTAGGAGAAATTAAGAGACACTAAGGTTAGAAATGAGGCCACCAGTATAGTAGGGGTTGCAGAAAGAGGTGATTGAAAGAAAAAAGGAGAAGTTACATTTGTTGAGGTAATTGCTGAGAGCTTTCCAGAATTTATGAAAGATATGAATCCTTAAAGAAACACTGAGTTATCATAATAGAATTATTAATTTAATCTCTGCTTAATCAACTATATATGTTACTAATTTCAACCTAATCACTTAAATAATAAATATTGATTATATTTAAAAAAATGTCATCTACTGAGAGGTCAATCAATTCCATCTGTAGTTCTTTAGATACCTTGGTGATATCAACTAGGTGAGGCTGAAATGTTATTTTGAGTGTGATGTCATGGTTGTCAAAGTGAACCTTTCATTGTATTCTCCAACTGATAGGTCTATAACAGCTGTGGATTCTTCAAATGATTTGTATATATCACCCTGCTCAGCAATTATGGGGTCCAAAGCCATGAGAGGGGCACAAAGCCTCATGTGTAGCAAAATGCTGTATATTTTGAGCATCCGAGTGCAGATGGGTGGAGGTGAAAAAGCGTTCACCCCTAGGTAGTGGAGAGCCTTGGGTCTTATAGAGGTTTTCTCCGGGGGGAGTAAGTAAGTGGGCCAGAACAGCTGCTTGCTTTAAAGTCTTTCTCAAACAACCAGTTCCTAGGACCCCTGCCCCAGTCACACCCACCTTTCAGCTCTGCTGCCGTCCTTATCAGGAGAGCCAGCGAGAGCTAAGCCTGGTCCCTGTGGGGCGGGGAAGGAGTGCTGGCTGCGGCTGGTTGCCAGACCTGCAACACCCCGGGACCCTCCAGACTCCCGTGGCTGTTGTTTTACAGGCCTGAATTTTTCATTAACCACATTCTGTCGTAGACATACTTTTCGGGTTCCCACCTGGAACAAACCTAACATCAATGACCTTTGCTAACTGAGGAAAATGTTCATCTGGAATTTCCTTTTGAAGAAGAAATGCTTTGGAAAAGGATAGCTTTTTTCAAAATGCTTGGATTTTTGCTACATATCATATATAGATTTAGTTTTACCTCACAAAAAAAATTCAAGTCATTTTGATTTGACATGATATCACACAGAAATGCTGCATTCTCATAGAAATCTTCTTTCAATAATTCACATTGCTGACTCTGTTCTTCATAAAATTTAATTCTCTGTTCTCACAGAGATAAAATTTTAGCTAACACCTGTCCCTGCTACAGCCAACCCACTTTAGAAAGATATGGCAAATCCACACTGAATACCTCATATTTCAACTTTAGCATATTATGAAACTGATGATGCCATGTTGCATTTGCACGAATATAGTTGTTAATAGCAATACTAATAACTGATTGCAAAGTGTCACTTAAGATAATAGCTTTACCATAGTGATTTTGCTGATGCAAGATACAATGAAAAGAAATGAGAGCACCTGGATCTGTTGATACTGTTTTTAATCTGTGCAATAAACCTTTCGTGTTTTCCTGTCACGGAAGGTGCACCATCTGTACGTACCCTCACTAAACTTACCAAATTCAGTCCAACTTCACGATATTTATCTTGAAAAATTGCTGAAGATATCTATTCCCAGTGTTCTGTTCACAAGAGTGCCCAAAGTGAGTAACTCTTCATAGCAAAGAATTTTCTGTTATTACCCAAATGAAGTATAAAACGTGCCCTGAGTCAGTAGTTTCAGCTGATTCACCCAAAGTGATTAAGTAATATATATACATTTTCCTTTTGAAGCATTGCATGAAGTTGTTCTGTTAACTTGAAGGCTATTTCATGTTGCCAATCAGTTATGGTTCTCCTTTGAAGAGGCAGTTGCTTGTTCTTTGAAAGATTATCACTGTCTAAGCATCGTACAACTTCGACAGTGCATTCTTTCACAATTTCTGTATCACTGAATGGCTTCTCTTTTTTCCCAGTATATGAGTGACTTTATAAGTTGCCTTAGTGGCATTATTTCCAGGTCTTATTGCTGCTTGAAAGAATTGTCTTTGTTTTTGTCTTTTATCTTTTAATTTCTGCAAGACAACCTTTCATGCCTCTCCCACTATTTAAAATATCTGTGGTCCTTATGAGTGTTACAGTGCTGATGAGCATTGAGTTTCTTTATTGTTGATATTGCAGAATCACAAAGCAAGCAAATCATCTCACCTTTAGTGGAAACAAGATAATATTGCAATTCCCAATCCTCATTTAAAAAATCTGTTTTCTTCCTTCAGTATTCTCTTGTTCTTTGACATGATGGGCTATTAAGCAGACAGAATTAAAAAATACTGTTGAGCTGTGCAACTATTCACAAATTCTGCTTCAAACAGAAATGCAGTGCACCATTGTCAAAAGCTGATAACAGATCAGCGACTCCTCCATAATTCCCATAAACTCACACCAACCAGCCTCATGCAGTAGTGGCGCCAGTCAGACATGGGAAGTTAGAACTAAATCAAGAGCGTAGCAGCTGTCCATTTAGCCCTTACGGCTTACCAATGTCCTGATTGTGCCAGTCAATCTGGGAGGATTATTTCGTTGAAACTTATTATATTCTTTGGTATTTTAAATATGTTCATTTTTAAAATAAAATAAAAATATAAAAGACAAACAAAATGTATTAATAAAAATAAAAGGATTTGTTCTGTAAAATTTGGATTTGGTCAAAAGGCCACACTTAAGGACCTAGAAGGTCACATATGGCCTTAAGGCTGCAGGTTCCCCACCCTTGCTCTAGTCTCTCTCTAACTTTGTCAGCTGGCTACACACTTACCTATAAGTTCAAAGAGTCACACAGGGTGGAGGAACCATGGAATAGAAGGAGCGTGGCCCCTTCCTTACTCTTGGAGGAGAGCTTCCCAGGACAGCTGCCCAACCAGGAACATATATATGAACTTTTAATTAAGGAGAATTGAACTCCCATTGCATGGGTTTTTTTATTAAGATCTATTTGTTGTAACAGCACAACCTAGCCTATTATTTTAAAAAGTAGCTGGGCATAGTGGCTTACACCTGTAATGCCAGCACTTTGGGAAGCTGAGACAAGAGGATCGTCTAAGCCCCGGAGTTTGAGGCTGCAGTGAGCTATGATCACGCCACTGCACAGCCCGGGCAACAAAGCAAGACCCTGTCTCTAAATTTAAAAAAAGAGAGAGGAAGAATAAAAAGTAATAGTAACTGTACAGAGGAGAAACCTGGCAGATGCCAACCATGACCAAGCTCAGCATCACCAATAATATGGTGCATGCACACTGTGTACCGCCTGGCACCGAGGAAGGGCGCGTCATTGCTTTTGTATTCTTGCCAGAAATGGATGACCTCAATCTTATCACAAGAAAAGCTCAAATTGAGAGAGATATTTTACAAAATAACTGGCCAATATTAATTATCAAGTTCTTGAAAGACAGATTCCAGAACTGTCACAGATTGAAGGAGACTGAGGAGACATGATAATTAGATGCAAAGACTTGGATCCTGGACCAGAAAAAGGACGTTAGTAAAAATTGATGAAAAGCAAATGAGGTCGTTAGTTAATGGTATTTTTTCGAGGCTTATTTCCTGGTTTCAGTAGCTGTCTTGTGACGGTGCACGATGTGAGCATGACGAGGAGCTGGGTGAGGAGGGTACTGGGATTCTCTGCACTATTTTTACAACTTTTCGATAAGTCTAGAATTACACTTCAAAATAAAAACTAAAATAAATTAGTAAGAGGTGAATGTGGCAATGAGATGGCCTTTATGTTGGCTTTGCTTTTGACGCATTATCAGCAATCCTGGATAGTACAGACACACATCGGTTTACACCTTTAAAATTATTATAGCAAACCCCGTTCCTCTAAGTCCAGCTCAAGGTCAACCTTACTGACTAAACCTAGACCTCTGCGCACATTAGACTGAATGGCTTTCTTGCTCCCCGGGTATTTGAAATGGAGTCGCCAACTCTGGGTTTGACGGGAAGTTCTCAGAACGGAGGGACTAGGGTTCCGTAGACACACCCCATTCCGCCAGGGCAACGGGAAGCCTCCTCGGGCCTGCTGGGTGCCCGATGGCTCGATCATGGCCCTGCCTGGGGAAGTTTGGCGGTGGGAGGGGGCTGGTCTTCAGCTGCTTCTCCGCACCCTCTCTGGACCCCCATGGTGACAGGACCCTGAGATGCTGCCCCTGTTTCCTGGCTCACTGTGAGCCTCTGACCACAGCCAGGACCACTGTTGAAGAGCCAGGTACCCGCACGCGCACCCCGCGTGCGCAGGGCTGAAAGCAGAAGACGCCCAAGGCCAACAGGCGGCTTTTCAGAACCAAGATGAGCCCGGAGCGGGATGTCTTCGGAGCCCACAGGCAAACTGCGCCCGCCACGGCGAGGCCTCCCCAGCGCGGGGGCGAGGAGGCGCTCGAGAGGCGCGGGAACCCACCCCCAGGCAACGGGACAGCACGGGCAGCGAGAGAACCAGCGCTTTAATGACGGAGAGCAGGCAGCCGCGGCGCGACCCGAGGCCTCTGCCCGCCGCGCCGAGCGGCGCGTGGCGGGTGCGGCGGCGGCGGCGCCGGGCGGGCGGCCGGCGCTTGCGCGGGGCTCAGAGCAGCAGGCCCAGCAGGGCCAGGCCAGCCAGCACCAGGAAGGCGAGGGAGGCGAGGGAGGCGGGCGACGTGGCGGGCGACGTGGTGGGCGACGTTGTGGGCGACGTGGCGGGCGAGGCGGCACACTCGACCTTCCGGAAGATGACGCCTCCGAGGGTCGTGTTTCCAGCGGACAGCGCGCGGCAGGCGGAGTCACTGAGGTCCGAACAGCCTTTCAGCGCCAGGCGCTGCGACGCGGTGCCTGTGGACACAGGGGCGCGGTGAGGGCTCCCGCGCCCTTTGCCGCCTCCGCCTGCTCCCGGCTCCCCCCGGCCGCCCGGCCACCCGCAGGAGCGGGTCGGCCGCGAAGCCGCGCGGGAGGCGCCGGGGCAGGAACCCCAGCAGCGGCCGCAGCGGCGGGGCCGCCGGGCTCGGCAGGCAGCCGGCCCCAGTCCCGGAAGGCGGCCCCTGGCCGCGGCCTCGCCTGCCCGGCAGGGCGCTCAGCGCGCGCCCTCTCTCGCCCCAGCGGCCCGCGAGAGGCGGAGCGGTGCGGCCGAGCTCTGCGCTGCGCCCTGGCTCCGCTGCGTCCTGGCGTGCCCCCGGTGGCCGGCTTTCTAGGAAAAGGCCTAGGGCGTTTGCCAGGAAGGTGTGGCTGTGCTGGCAGCTTCCTGTCCCTGCGCTTGCCGCGGCCCTGCCGTGCTGTGGCCGCAGTCGGGCAGCCCGGGGACAGGCAGCCCGCAGAGGACGAGGGACTCACGGAGGCGAAGTGACTCCACGTGACGCTTGCCAGAGGCAGGGCTGTCATTTGAGTTCAAAGCTAACTCTAAACTTGCTCTGGAAAGAAGTGAGAAACCTCCAAATCCCAGATAAGAAAGCAATTCCTTGCTGTTCTATAGCACGCGTTCGTGCTGTGGCTCGAGCTAGAGTGGATGAGGAAGATGTGTTCCTTGGCACATCTGTACAGTATTGAAAAATGATCCTAGGCAAAGACAGACAAGAAAAACGCTACACTGATGATGGCTTTGATCTGTCCAGCTTTCAGCTTTAGTTAAACCCTATGGGGGGCAAAATACCCCCATCCTTTACACCAGAAGACACCTGAGAACAGGTGAGCAGAGAGAAGAGGTCCTTCTGACGCCATTTTCCTAGCACACAGCTTTAGAACCAAAATAATAGCAGTGTAGACATCCAGAAGTTTTAAAAGTAAAAAGAGCCTTGAATGCTTATTACTAAAGGAAAGAAGCCACTCTGAAAGAACCACGCACGGACCATGCCGGTGTGGAAACGCGAGCTGTGGAGGCAGGGGAGGGTCAGTCAGTGCCTGCCAGGGCTTGGGGCAGAGAAAAGTGAGTAGACGAGGCACGGAGGATTTTTAGGGCAGTGAAAATACTCTGCATGACACCATCGCAAAGGTGGATACAGTGCATCATGCATTGTCCAGACTCAGAATGCACGACCCCAGAGTGAGCCGGGCGCACACCGCGAGCGATTCTGGTGCTCCTGCCCCACGGGCGGGGATTATGTATGCAGGACGGGGCAGCTGGGAACTCTCTGTGCCTTCTGCTCGAGTTTGCTGTGATCAAAAACTGCTCTAAAAAATAAGGTTCATTTTAAGAAAAAAGTAAAAAGAAGTTCAGGATAAGCATGGTGCTTGGCCACACTGAAAAATCCATAATTACAATTAAGCATTGATTTCTGATACTATTAATTGACGTTTAACAAAAAGTGAAATGAAATCGTACCTGGGTGTTGGGGCCCTTAAACTCTTATTATTCTGAGGCACATTTTGGCAGAGAATGACTACTGTTCATTTTAGCTCCGTGCCTGTTTCTTTCTTTCTGGGCCACCACTGTTCTGCACTTCCCAGCCTCCCTTGCAGTCCAGGGTGGCTGCAGGACTGGGTCCAGCCCACAGAATGCTACTTCCAGGAGTAACCTGCAAAAACCTTCCTGCTTTCCTCCACCTGTCCCCCCACCGCTGGGGGCACAGCGAGTGCAGCAGAGTGGCTGCCAGTCTGGGGTGAGAGGGCCAGAGCTGCAAGACAGATGGAGCCCATGCTCTGGAATCTACAGCAAATTGCTCCATGAGCAAGAAATGAACATCTATTGCATTGAGCTGTAGGATTTGGGAGGTTGTTCTTTAGCAGTGATTAATGTACCCTAACTAATAAATGTGTTGTTCTTTAACTATTCAGGAAAATGTTAGAAATTTGTGTTTTTTAATGGTTAATATCAAAGTGCTTTCATAGAAAAAGACAATTGGTTATACTTCAAAGCCCAATGGGGCTCTTTTTCCCAAACTGCCATAAGCCAGCACCTCTCAGTGGGTGACTGAGAAGAAAAGTATAGGTATAAAAGGAATTAAAAGTCACACCCACCCACCCACCCACAGAGTGCTGGCACCCAATGAAGAAGTAAATGTCAGGAGGGGCTTGAGCACAAGCCACAGGGGAACGGGGTTCCAGAGGAGCACAGCCCAGGAGAAATGGCTCTGGACTAAGAAGGCAGAAATAACAACCAGCTCAAGGCTATATTAGCGGCCTCCTTATTTCAAAGGCATTCTGGCCCTTACCCGCCTTGTCCCACCGCCCTCCCCAGCCCTTATGTGTTAGCCCGGAACTTATGACCCAAGGCTTGACATGTTTTCAACTCAAGTCCCATAAAGGAGTTGGAACTCCAAGACATACCATTGGTAAATTCTGCAACTAGAGAGACACAGCGTTCTCCTTCATAACATCTGTGGATGCGCTCCACACAGGCAGTCTCGTTGGGTCCGTAACAAGCAGGGCACTCTATGTTGCTGGTAACGTTTCTCAGTGGAGGGTCTGGGTAGAGTGAGAATCATTACTCAGGACAATGTTGTCACACAAAACACAGCACCGCCCTGGGGAGGGACACAGTGAGCAAGAAGCCGCCAGAGGGATCCTGAGAAGGGAGCGTTTGCATCTTGGGGATCTCAGATCCTGCCTTGAAGACATTGTGCCCCCAAATATTTACTGCACACAACCCTACAGATCTGCCGTATATGGGATAGCCCTTATAGGCCATCCAGTTTTCAAGAACAATGATCCACAAGTGTGTTGTGGTATAGACTGAGAGATAAAGGTAAGAGTTTGAGCTAAAACCAACCTGCAGGTTAGCCAGCTATTCTGAACATTAGCCAGCAGGTGTGCGACTGTACTAGATCTTGCTCTGAACAAAGGAGCCCAGGCCGCTATTTAATATTGCAATTAGCAGGAAAAAACCTATATTGCGATTAGCAGGAAAAAACTTATATTGAGACCTAGCTCTGCTCTTAATTAACTGTGCTTTATGACCACGGCCAACAAACTTTGCCTTTTTGGCCACATTTTTTCTTCTTCAAAAAGAGAGCTTTGGTCTAGATCAGCAGTTTTCAAATTGTGGTCCAGGAAGCCCTGAATCCCGGAGACCCTTTCAGGGAGTCCATAAGGCCAGAATAATTTCTATAACAATACTAAGATGTTATCTGCTCTTTCACTCTCATGAGCTTACAATGGAGTTGTCCAGAGGCTGATGAGCAGGACTGCAGCAGACCAAATGCATAAGCAAATGTGAGAATCCTGCTGCCTTCTGGTAAGCCAGCAACCAAAGAGCTTCGTAAAAATATGTGATAACAATGCCACACTTCTTACTAAATAATTATTTTTGTTTTGCAAAATACAGTTATTTCTATATAAAATGTTAACATTTAATGAGTTTATTTTTGTTATTTTGAGAGAACTAATTAAGATTTCTAAATTTTCTTAGCTTTAATGTCTAAAACAGTAAATATGGATAGAGTCCACATACACAAAAGTTCTTTGGGTTCCTCAATAATTTTTAAAACTTGAAGTATTAATAGAGGGCCTGAGATCACAAGGTCTGAGAGCTGACGAGCAGTGACTGCCCCCACAAGATCTGGAGCACTTGTAACATCTGCCTTTGCTAAAGAAGAGGCCGAGCTTGGAGGGAGTGGTGGTCTGTCCCGTCCATGATCGCTGGGAGTCAGATGTTAATGTTACCCAGATACACACTGAAGGGCCTGGACTTGAGATGTCCGCCTAAAGGCAGAAGCACAGGTGGAAAAGGAAGGGGCACCCCACCCACATGCCGGCACCCACCCAGGTCCTCGCTGGTGCTGTTGCACCCCCCTCCTTGGCAGCACTGGCTTGCAAAATGGAAGCTTTCGTTGTCAGATGTGTGGACGGCAAAGGCCATAACTGTGTTTGTCTCCTCGCTGCAGTTCTCCGCGGAGCAGGACATGGCCTGGTATAAGCGTATGGCTGCCCCTACACAAAAGCAAAAGACCGTCAGACCCTCCAGTGGAGGCTGGGGGCGCTGCACAGCAGCTGCCTCACACGGAGGCAGGAAATGCAGCCTCAGTTCAATGCAGTCTGGGAGACACTGGAGAGAGTTTCTTGAAAAAAGAAAAATTCTTCTCCAGCAGGTGGCTCGTTCCTTCGGCAGGAAACTATCCGACACACAGGTTAAACGCAGGCAGAAGGCTGACAGGGAGCTTGGGTGGGTGGCTCAGGCTGACAGCCCCTGAGCCCATCAATCAGTCCTAACATCTCCAAAAATAGTCAAAGAGACACGATGGGCCTCCCACCGTACCACCTATGTGCTTCTGCCTGAAAATTGAACCTGAATCCAGTCAAGCTTCTAGCCAAAGTTGTCTAACATGGTAGCCACTAGCTACATGTGCATACTTAAGTGTAAATCTGACTAATTATAATTAAATAAAATTTAGAATTAAGCTCCTTAGTCATACTAGATACACTTCAAGTGCTCAATAGCCACACGTGGCTGCTGTCCAGGACAGTGTGGATGCAGACATTTCTGTCATTGAAGGAAGTATCACTGGCAGCACTGGTCCAGTTTGCAGGAAATACCAGGAATAGGGGAGCAGGTCTGACGACACCGCAAGGAGGCAATCAAGGAAAGCCAGCATGTGGGGCAGCTGCAGGACAGACGCCGGCTCTCTGACAAATCAGTGGGACTGAACATAAAGGTGACGGGAGCTGTTATGCACTTGGACTCGACAGACCTCACAGAAAAAGGCACTATGGGGAGTTTATTTGGATCCTAATCCCAAAACATCAACTATATCCTGACATCTTTGAAACAATTGAGAAATTTTTAAGATGGCTTGGGTATTAGAAGAAATTAAAGAATTAAAGTTAATTTTCTTAGGTATGATAATAGTATGCATCTTGGTCCATTTTGTGTTGCTATAACAGAGTATCATAGGCTGGGTAATTTATAAAGAAAAGAAATTGGCCGGGCACGGTGGCTCACGCCTATAGTCCTAGCACTCTGGGAGGCCGAGGTGGGAGAATCACTTGAGCTCAGGACTTCCAGACCAGCCTGATCAAGAGTGAGACCCCGTCTGTTCTAAAAATGAAAAAAATTAGCCCTTGGGCAACAGAGTAGAGACTGTCGAGAGAGAGAGAGAGAGAGAGAGAGAGAGAGAGAGAGAGAGAGAGAGAGAAAGATGTTTATTTCTTACAGTTTTGGAGGCTGAGAAGTACAATATCAAAATGCCAGCCTCTGATGAGGGTCTTCGTGCCTCATTTCCCCATGGCCAAAGGGCAAGAGAGGACGAGAGTGAGCAAGGACATGAAGGTCCAGACTCGCCCACCAGGGACCCACCGGTGCAGTAGCAGTGTTAACCCATTCTTAAGGGCGGCCCCTCATGGCCTAATCCTTCTTAATGGTCCGCTCTTAAAACCATCACAGCAGCAATTAAGTTTCAACATTAATTTTTGGAGGGAACAGTCAAACTTTAGCAGTATAGTTAACTAAAAGAAAAAAAAATTTTGAGGCAGAGTCTCACTCTGCCACCTAGGCTAGAGTGCAGTGGGGTCGTCACACTCACTGCAACCGCCAACTCCTGGGCTCAAGCGATCCTCCCACCTCAGCCTCCCAGAGTGCTGAGATTACAGATGTGAGTCACCGCATCCAGCCAAAAATAATTTTTTTTCTTATCTGAAATGAATAGTGAAATATTTATGGGGAAAATGACAAATGGCATGATGATACACACATATATATAGTGTGATTATATATACATATATATCTAATTACTTCAAAATAACATGGACAAAAAAATAGCAGAACCCTGGTAATTGCTAACATAGGCAGTGGTTACATGGAAGTGCATTAGACTCTTCTTCCTTGAACATGACCGTTAGAAAAAAATAAGAAGAAAGCTAAGAGCGCCGAGAGAGAGGATGCGATCGAAGCGCACTGTGGGCAAGTCGTGAACGACAGTCTGTTTAACCCAGAAGAGGAGGAGACAGAGGCAGACCACGGGAAGCAAGCACCCACGCGACTGCTGCCTGCCAGTTTAGCTGAGCGCCGCCGCGTCTCATGCCCTCTGGCCCATCTGTCTGCGGTGCGGCTTCAGTCAAGGCCAGCAATAGCCAAGACACCCAGGGGCCTGGCTGCTTGCCTGGCTCTGTCCTTGCATTCTTGTCAGACTTCATTTGTCTCAGCCACGCATTGCTCCTCCCGGGAGCCACCTTCCTGACCCTCTCTCTGCTTGCACAGCCCGGCCCCGTCTCAGCCTTCCTTTCTTCCTCGGCCACCCTCTCCAGCGCCCGCCCAGTGTGAGTCCCAGGGGTGAGGGTGACATGCACGACCAGGCTCACCTAGAGAGGAGTTGACTGTGGAGCTGACACAGCTGTTGTTGGCACTCAAGGGACATTCAAAGACAGCGGCGTCAACACAGGAGTTGTTCCATGAATGACACTGCAGGCAGCTGGTGGATTCTAGGAAGACATCATGTTCAACAGAGGTCACCGTTCTGCAGACACTTACAGAGCAGACTCTGGGCAAAGTACCACGCCCACCTCGCGGTAAAAGATGTGGACAAGACGGCATCCCTGCCCCCTGGGGGGCTCCAAAATGGTGCTATCAGTTTCTCCCCACTGTCCACCCTTCCCCACTGGGAAGACACACCCATGACCAACAGCGCGGAGTGGCCCACTGAAGGAGGGTGCACCGACGGCCTCCCCTCCCCGACTGCACGCTAACGGGAGAGGCCACGTGAGAGCCGCCAGGCTCTAAGAGCAGGAAGACTCCGGCGGGATACAGAAAAGGGTCCTCAACCCCAAAGGGCCACAGCTTCTCTCACCTACAGCTGCCACAGCGAGCGCGGCGATGACAGCAGCAACAAGGATGCCCTTCATGGCGCTAGCACTGGCTTCTCCAGGGATGGGCCACAGAGCCTCAAGCCTAAAGAGACACAAGGAAGGCAGCCCCGGGGCGTTGGAGGGCCGCCCGTCATACCACGAGCCTAGTGCTCAGTCCATCCCTGTGACAGGAAGAATCAGGATCCTAAACTGGGAGCACAAAGCTGTGACACAGACCCCACCGCCCTAACAGAGGTCCGGTGTTCCTAATCTCAAACGCCTGTGGAGGCGTCTGCACACAGACATGGAACAGGGCGTTGCCTGTGGAGCGCTTCTGGGGCAACATGGGCGGCAGCAGGTGAGGTCCAAGAGAAAAGACCTGGGCTGGGTCCCTGCCCGCCTCTCCCCTCCCAGAGCTCGGTGCCGCCTCCAGCTGGCATCTCACTGCACTCACAGTGTGCATTGGGGCTTCCACTGCTGCCGCCGCCGCCCCCGTGGGCAGAGCCCTGCTGAGCATTGCTTGGCCTGAGCACTCTGCCGATGCTGACCCAGAGTCCGCCCTCCCCGGCAAGCAGTGCTGCTACTCAGCATCACAAGGGAAATCAAGTCCTTGAAGGGTTAATTAATACACTCAAAGTCAAGGTCTTTTTCCTGGGAGATGCTAGAGCCGGGGTTAGGCCAAGGCCCCACGGCCCGCCACCCCACACTGCCTTCCAACAGACGACAGCTCCGCTGGGCCTGGACGCACTCGGCCGGCCGCGCTGACTCAGAAGCCCCGTGCTTCTGATCAGTGTGTCACGAATCTCTGCGCCTCCTGGTCCTTGCCTGCTTTGAAGATCGCAGTGGTTTAGCTACACTCATTAGGGTCCTACATCAGAGCTCCCAGAGTCTCAGCTGGCCTTTGCGGTGATGTGACAGCACAGAGAGCAGGTGTCTGGCTCTACACTGAACTTTCTTGGTCATTACTTCATTCACCCTGTAAATGGCAGCCACGTTTATTGGGGTTAAATTTATTGAAGTTAAATAAAATGAAACTTTTTGTTTCTTAGTCTCACTGGCCACATTCCAAGCGTGCACAGACACATGTGGCCAGTAGCTGCTGTACTGGCCACTGCAGGCACATGACATTTTCATCACTGCAGAAAGTCCCGCTCGACAACACTGCTTTAATAAAGGCTGTTGGCCCACTCCACAGGTGAGGAAACTGCTACCTGGAGGGATAGTAACAGTTGCCAAAGCACACCCAGCTTGTAAGGCCAGAACCGGAACTCCGCTCGGGGCTCTTCCGGCTCCGAAGCCTAGTTGCACCATACTAGCTGCTGCTTCCTGGGCAGGCCGGGCCCTCCCTGGCAGCTGCAGCCCCTCCTCCCACCTCTCCACACACGCCCCACGTCACACACACACACACACCACACACTCCACACACCACACACACCCCACATCACACACACGCCCCACGTCACACACACACACACCACACACTCCACACACCACACACACCCCACATCACACACACGCAACAACCAGCCAACACCCCACCATGCACACACACGCCCAGCGTCACACACACACCCACGCACACACCACCACCACACACACACACACACGCCCAACATCAACACACACAACACCACAGCACTCCACACACCACACAGCACCCCACATCACCACACACCCACATCACACACACGCACAAGCTCAGCACACACACAGCACCACACACTCAACACCCACCACACCCCACCATCGACACACACCCCACACTCACACACGCACACACCCCACACACGCCACACCACAAGCACCCACATCACACACACCACATCACACCACACGCCCACATCACACCAAAACCCACGATCAACACACTCCACAACACCACACACGGCCAGCACCATCACAGCACACACACACCAGCACACTCCACACACCACACACACCCACATCCACACACAGGCCACATCACACACACGTCCCCACGTTCACACACACGCACGCAG